ACTCTTTCCTTTACAGTTATACAGAGGGAGAATGGGGTTTTAAACCAAAAATGAATAGATTATGTCACTGGAAGTTCAAGGTCCATAACACAGGAGCATCTAAAGAACAAAACAGAAACACACATAATAAAAAACCCCCAGAATTTTTTCCGCAACAGCTCAAAGGCCTTTTTCTTAAGCATAAATGAATGCTTAAAGGCAACAGGACAGGAAACATTTACTGGTCTGAATAAGGCATCTATTGCCAGAACTTAGGGCGTTTTTGCATAAAATTCCGGCATTTCCATAGAAGCATTTGAACCTGTTGTGTTGTGTCATGCAGGTACCTAAGACCCTGCAGAAGTTTGAGAGAGGGAGAGCCTATTCTTCAGTTGCTTTTCATTTTTCAAACACCATTCTTAGAAAAACCTGAGAAGTGAAATATGATTGAAAATGCTGAAGGGAACAGCCTTTCAGTTGCAATTTTCTATTATTATAAGGTTGTCATCACTTACCTCAGTATGTGGTGTTCATGACAGTACCTGTATGACTCCAAAGTAATGAATATAGCTCTTTGTCAATATTTGAAAGCGTGAAACACTAAAACCAATACCTCAGAAGGGCAGTACAAAATTCCAGAGAGAAAGGCCAAAACCAAAGTGTTTTCGTCTTCAGCAGGCAAAAAAGTAAGCATGCCTGTAAGTCTGCGTATGCACTTAATACAAATGAACAAATAAACGGATTGTAAGAACAGCTTATGACTCACCGATAATTGCTTTTGTAACTCATACTAGAGCCAAAAAAACATACACATTTCAACTCTGTATCACCCCATACTTTAAACCTTGTCATGTACAGTAACACAGACACAAAAACAGGGCTTCCAGTTAAAAATCTACTTTAACAAAGCTGAGCTCATATCAGGACAAAGATTCATGTGGCAAACATTTATCAGTGTTGGACTACTCCAAAGCATATGTCATTTTAATTTATTTTCAACAAAACAGGATATTGTCACTGTATTGAGGGTATATAAGAATAATTTTAGAAGAGGTAAATGAAAAACTTCTGTGTTACATGTACTCTTTTCTGCCTTAGTTAACAAACACTGATTTAGGAATAACTCAATTTTCTTTCCAGCTTATTAGCTTAAACATTTACCTACAGTCCAATCTACTTAAAGTTGAGGCCATTTCCTGTATACAGAAGTAAGCTATGACTTACATCAGCTTTCTACTTTTTTTTCCCTGATAGTACTGCAGAAAAAAAAGTAAAAAATAAAGTTTAAAAATACTGAATACATCCCACAAAAATAGAAAGTTTAGACTCAATCTGACTATATAGTAAAGTACTTTATTAAATTTTCAAGAGAGCCATGCCCAGGACTATGTTGTCTGAGGCCCACAAATAGCTCAAATACGTATGTTTTATGCACTTTATGTTAATTCCTTTAAACTAGTGCAACAATGGTTTAGGGAAAAGATCCCAGAATAACTTTAAAAAGATACAAAAGGGAAGACAAGCATACATTCTTGTGATGTAGCTCCCCACTTGAGTTTCTGTATGTTTTAACCAAAGTCACCTGGAAAAAGCTGGGATCCCTTCCAATGTCTGTAAGCAAGTATGTGAACGATGGAGCTCAGTTTACCTCACAAAAATTAAAAAACCCTGCAAGATCCTACAATTCAGTAGTGTCTCAAAATTATTTGACCTTTTTTCCCCTCATGTAATCTGTTTTTCTAGTGCAATTTACCACATTTCTCCCCAGACTACAGTGACCAAACATTACTGTGAACTGTACCAACTTTCAGACTTTTCTCCATTCCTAAATGTAACTTGCATGGGTCTTTTCATATTTTATAGATGACATCTACAATATTACCAGATTAAAGCAGAAGAATGTTAATTGGTTCTCAATTATTTACCCGATTGTAAAATGGATGCTGAGGTCCCGTCATACCACTATAGTAACTGCTATGAGGTTGCGGTGATAAAACTCCGCTATTGAAAGGTCCATTGAAAGAGGTTGTAGAAGAGCAAGCTGATGAAGGCTGACTGAACAGAGATGTTGCTCTAGCAGGTGCCTCATGTAAAGGCAACGTGGGATAAGGAAGTCCTCCAATATTCATTTGGTCTCTTGCAGCACGAACGTCTGAAAAATAAAAAGGTAAAAAAGAATGAGATTTTGCTTGAAATATTTAAAAAAAGTTTGTATTTGTTTGCCAATTCATTATAGTACATTTTTGTCTATTTAACTCATCAAGTAGAACATCAAATGTCACTTTCAGCTCCATTTGGTTGATTTGTCTTGAGGATCACACATACACAGGAGTCTTTAGAAGAGTCAGGACAATTTATTGCATAAATTTATGTAGCATATTAAATGCCTCTAAATATTCTCCGACAGAACAAGTTACAAATCCCAGCCCAAATGGGAAGAAATGAAGGAATACGTCACGCCAAGTATGCCTCTGATGGCAAGTATATCTGATGTGATAGTCAGACCTGTACTGTTTCTGAAGAGATTAACAAGACAGAGCTTGTGAACAAAGTTAGACCATTGCACTGCAGCTATCAAATGCAGAGAAGGAAGCTGGAAAAAAATAAGAACAAAAAGGGTTCCAGTCGAGGACTGAAGAAATGTGTCACGACAAAAAAGACAGGCAAAGAGAACAACTAATATCTGAATTTACTTCCCACCTAGAATACTGTCATACCAAAGTCTCATAAGGATTCTACTTTAAATTTAAAGTTCTGGTTCTCTTCAAAGCTTTAGCATCTCTTAACAGGTGGAAATGTTAGGACGCCTTAGCCTTACTTCAGAGCTAATAGCAATCCCTAAGACTGGACAAGAAGAGCCATACCATGCACCGCATCAATCCACAGCAGCAGTGAGCAGTCAGAACATTTAATGCTGAACGAAGTGTTTTTGCAGACCAGACCATACCTGAACCTGACTGCATTTTTTGAGACTACAAGCAAGTAAAGTACACTTGCCCTAGGATGAATTTAAGTATCATACTATAGCAGACTAAAAAGTAACTCATGGATACCAGCTGCACAGGTATCTAGAGGGGTGTACATCAAATGGAGACATTCCACTTTGTTTCACTGGCTTCAGTTCTACAGGATCTTACTGACGCTATTCAAAATTGTTAACAAGGATCTAGAAGTCAACTTCCATCTCTACTACTAAAATACCATTGTGTGTATTGGTTTCCTCCATCTGCTAAAGCAGTCTTCAAATCAAGAAGAGTGGAGTCCCCCCTCCAAAAGAGATGCTTCAGTCTAGTATGATCTGGCCTTTACAGCAAAACTACTAAGTGAAACTGAATGGCCTGTTACTGAAGTCAAATCACACAATCTGAAGGTCTGATTTGATGAACAAATCAGGATTCTGCATAACACGCAAAGTAACTCTACCTAAAATGAAAAGAAATAATACAATTGTCATTTTCCGTTTATTTGAAAGCATACTCACCTGCAATGATTTCTCGGAGCTTGGGATCCAAGTTTACAGTACATGGCAGAAAGGTTCTTACATCACGTGCAACAAGAACAGGTGTTCGCGAAGATAAAAATACTTCAAAGTTCCGTATATCTCCATCAATTTCAAGTAGAGGTTCAACATCTTTAGTTGTAGGAATATTCTTTGAAATTCTGGGGGGAGAAAAATCAGATAAATCATACACCATGTTAATTACAGTATGAATTCCATTTGCACAGTGATATTCTAGGGCGAAGTAGTAGTACACTTGCATCCATTCTCCCTGTTCTCCAGAAAATGAAGAGAACCCATAAAGAGCTGCACTGTCTGCAGGAAGGACAATTTAACATTTTCTAATACGCAAAAAATGTCAAACTGCTAAGTAATCTGATCTAATTGTATGCTTCAGAGAAATGTCAAAGAAGCCATAAAGAAGACTAAAATCACATCAGGAATTCATAGATCAGTAACATCAAATCCAAAGTAAGGGGAAGTTAACATTTGTCAATGTTAACCTCAAACATCCATTTAAATTCTGATAACCCAATCAGAAATTCCATGGTTAAAAACCTAATTTTTAAACTAATATTTCTTGTAACTGGAACACTCAGGCATCTTAGACGTTGATCAAAACCCAACTGTGCATGATTTCATGGCAAAAAGTGGAAAAACAACTGCCTGCTTTCAAGTAATTCGCCTTCTAAGACAAGAAGCCACAAACAGAACAAAACAATGAGACATGATCAATATAAGGGCCCGTTGATGCATTATGACTACTGCCAAGCAATAGTGGGTTTTGGGTTTTTTTTTGTAAGCACTAGTATAAAGGACAGTTTTAAGTGGGAACAAGGAATAGGATTAAATGTTAGGCTTGTGGAAGTTGATGGAAAGCTCCTACCAAATGCAAGCAAGTGATGGAGACTGACATGATGGGTCAGATGGACATATCTAATTTGACATCTTATCCCATAGTATCATGACTGGTATCTCATCTGATACCAAATGAGAAATGATAATTTAAATTAAAGATTACTAAAATGAAAAAATGTTTCTCACACCCAGTATAATAAAAATGGAAACAGTGAAAGAATGCACTGAAAATGGTTGACATGGTTATAGTAACGACTATAAAGTGACTGTGAGAGCACCCTCTATGGATAACAGTGAAGTAACCACACTGTATTTAAAGTAAAAAATAGAAAAAAAGTTCTGAGAAAAAAATAATATATAGAAGTAAAAAACTTTATATAAATATAAAATGAATGATGCACCTCACTAGTTAACAGCTTTTCCCAAAGACATATTATGATTGCAGTCCCATGAAAAGGGATGACTTAGCATAGACATGTTGACTGTGAACTGCTGTAGCGTGCTAAAAAGAAGAAGTTAGCATAGCACAAAGAAAGAGTAACAGTTTTCTCTGATTACTGGACAATTAAAGCAGCTAAGACAACTGCCACTGCTGTCATGGGGGAAAGGAGCGCACTGATGCATGGATGGAAAGGGAAGAAGGAGCCCTCATGTACACTCAGTGACCCATCAAAGTGCAACCAAGAATCTCCCACATTAAATAAATACACATTTATGTGTCTATGAAGAGAAAAGAACTTTAAAAAAAAATCTTGTTGTACTTTTAATACAGCTAATGAACTAAATCTATCATTAGCTAAACGATCTTACCTTATTTCACAATTTGTTAGCTTTTTAAAAGCAATGATCTTCTTTTAGCTTTTTTTTTTTTTTAGATCCTCCATAAAAAGTAGGAATTTATGTACCATGAGATTATTCCAGAGACAAAAGTGGCAGATTTACACAGAATAGTTGGCATGTAATGTTAAGAGAACTAAAAGAATTGATGATAAATGCTAGATGCTTGAAGGAAGCGCAACTCTTTTACATTAAAAATGTATTTTAACTGTGTGTTAATCTTTCAATCTCATCTTTTAGGACAGTCTTGCCCTATACTAAAGGTAGAATTTTAACAAATTCCTATACATTTTACCAGAAAACATCTGAATGGACCATGTACCTAACAGATGGAGGATACTGCCATACCATGCTCTCATAAGCAGTATCGATGAATAACTTTATTCACAGTGAGATGTTACTTCTACAGCATAGGAAAACGTAACAAATATATAGCATAAAAGCAAGCGTAGCTTATTCTAACAAGGTTCTGATCCTGTAAATCATGATGAACAGTCATTTGGATGGCAGTGGGATTATCCACTTAGGGAAGTTCGATGCATGTAAGGCTTCACAGGGTCCAGTCCTAAAAGAATGAAAGGTGGTGCTTCTGTAAGAACAGAAACTTGACACCCAGAAGTAGGTTACTGTTTCAAAGAACGGAAAAAAACCCCCAAAAACATTGGCTGTATCAAAGTAAAAATTGTATACTCAATAGAATCTGAGAGGTGTATATTTTACACTAATATTTAGCTACTACCTTAGGTTATTCTATTTTGCCTTATATAAAACTACGGCTAAACTGAGTGTAAATGTATATGTTTTTATTCAAACACCAGAAATGTAAAAAAACTAAAACCACCAATGCACACTTTAGCTATATTTACTGTGAATATTCTAGACAAGAGTTCAACACTGGCAAAAAGAAAATTAAGTCACTTCTTAAGTCAGGGACTGAAGAGTTAACAAATGGCCTACTTCAACACTTAAATCTACAAAATAAAAAGCCAAAAGAGAATGTGACATAGATTTAAATAAAACACACAGCTGATGAATCACATGAAACAAATTAGCTGAATTTTAATGCCAGCTCTACTTAAGTCTGAATGCGAACAGTGTTCTGAATACGATGAACAAAGCTACTGTTCTGAAGCCAATAGCCCACTGCTGGTGTGCAGATTGAAGTCTCTATTCTAACCTCCTGAGCTCAATGTCTTAAACTACGCCTTTGAAAGAAATATTTATGTAAATTGTAATCTTCTGGCAAAGAGCCACAAAAATCGCATGTGCCTGTACTTCTCCGATAAAAAATAAAAGGTTAGCATGTAAAGCACTTTAGGAGTTACTTTTTCTAAAATATAAGCACACAGATCTAAAAATAAAGCACTGTGAACACCCTATTCTTATTTTGGGGCTAGATTTTCCTGAAGCAGAAGAATTATTCTTTAAATCAGAAACATCAAAAACTGTCAGTGTTACAGTGACTGTTTCCATGAGAAACTACTTGAACTTAAAAGGAATGAGCCCAAAACAGAACATTGCATTGACAGAAGAGAACCTTAAAAATTCGTTCTACTACTCTGCACGTGTCCTTTCCATTCGCTGCTACAATTAAAAACTGCTTTCAGTGTGGATTAAGCTATATTCCAACAATGATGGATTATTTCTGGCTTTTTCCTCAAATAAAAATAATTTACTACAAGTATATCTATAGGTACATCATCTTATCTTCCATTCAAGAGACTGTGAATTTGCTCCAAATTCTTTCTAGGTAACATTCACCTCGTACTTCCACGACTGACTTGGAAAATAATCACCATAGTTCAACAGTGGGTCCAGCACTGAACGCTGCCAGCTAGCTTAGATGCTAGGCTGTCATACACGACACAGCCTACCAGTTCACCACCTACTGTGAGAGATAGTTGCCACCACAGAATGTGGTCCTTCACCATCCAACCAGGTGGTGGTAAAATGGCAGCAGCATCAACTACCTTCATCCACACTGAAGGCTGTGCTGTGCCCACATTTCCTGTCTGGTTGGTTCTGTCAGGTCCTGGAGTATGCCAACAGGCTCTGTCACCTCGTCCCCTGGCCAGCGGTTTCGCTGCCTGTGCTAAAGGCCAGCTCTGATAGAGTGCGGCGGAGTGACCTGGGATTGGACTGCTGTGATAAGAGCTGCGAGAAGACTCATTGGAGACCTCTTTTGCTTGATTGGAGAACAGCCTTCAAGCCCAGGCCTTTGCCCTTGGTTCTTGCCTGAGCTACATCTATATACCTTAGTGGTCATGACCTTGACTCACTGACTCAACTTCCCGGCTTGACCCAAAATGTGGCTCGTTAGCTACAGACTGGGCTGTTTGCTGTCCCTGATTACTGTCACTGAACCTGCTCTAATCTTCCTGTTTGGCTACTGTGAGACTGCACCCCTTGCTCATGAGGACAATGCTCTGCCTGCCTTGCTGTCCTCCTCAGCGCCCAGCTTGCCTTCCCTCATGGAGCAGCCTGCCCTGCTGCTCCCAGACAGGTGTAAGGTTGACTTCTCTGCAAGTCCTTGTACCCAGAAAGGCCATTCTCCCCACACTTTCCAAACTTCTCTCTGAACGTGAAAACAAAGAAATGCTACAAGGTACTCTTTGCACACCTACATTTTTTTTTTCCTTATATGTTTTACAGGAGCAAGTAACTACATGGACAAGAGTCATTTAACTTTTGAACTCCATAAAAAGCAACAGACCTAATTACTTATTATTAAATAATCAATAGAGCAACAGTAAGCACGAGCATGAAGGCATGTCATGTTTTATCTATCACATGCCTTTTAAATTTTTCTCTCAATACAGTTTAAGACAAAAATGTTGCTTAAAACAATGAAACAACTTCTCATTAAAAATGACACAAATTAAGGTTTGAAACAGAGAAAGAGAAAACTAGAAAATCTTTGGAATGCAATATAAAATTTCGATGCTGATTAGAGGTCTGATCTCTAATACCTAATAATAAAATACTAGTAATATAATGCTTTGCTCTGAAGTTATTTATCCTGTTCTTCTCATGTATGGTCAGTATAGTGACTTCAGTGTATCTTTATGGCTAAGGGTGCATTTTCTTCTGGATTAAAATGCTCCAGAAAATTTGCAGTACTATCAACATATCGAGAATAGTGCTGCAAATATTGTTTCAAAATGAAATTTGCAACAGGTTATTTGGACATTGAAAAACTGCATTTGCTCATATATCTATTTGTATAAAGGCAGCAATAAAAAGTCATCGCACACTCAATACTAAAACATAGAGGGAATCAATGTTTTATCTTAATAAAGACCAAAAAAAGAAGAAAGCTACAGTTTGATATATCTATCTAGACAAAAATTATAAACCCCTCAAGTGCATATTAAGCAGTACAGAGACTTCACTGAACAGATGCAATAGCTATTTAAAACCTCCTATTACCGTAGGTATTCAGGAAAGCTTGCTTTGCAAAACTGAC